AAATAAATGCCAGAGCAAGAACGTTTTCGTTAACACTAAGCCACTTAAAACGAGCTTCTGTCTTGCTGAAAAATTATTTGCAAGCTAGTTTTGCTCCAAGTAGCTTTTAAGCAGCAGAATGCATCGATTGGATGCATAAACTAGACCAAAAATGGTCATATTTTGTGTTTTCACATTGAATATCTTATACATATTATATTAAAAAAATAATAATAATAAAATAAATGGAAATTCCAGCTGCATTAGATTTGTTTTGATTAACTGTCTAGATTTAGATGTTCTTTAAGATTCAGACGCTCTGAATTGAATACTCTGCTCTGTCACCTGAAGATCCAGACTCTTGATTCGTGTCGCTGCAGGGCCAGAAACTTGGGATGAATTTGAAGGGAATATGCTTTGATAAAACTGCAAGACGTAGAAACGTGAGCCCAGAATCTGTCAGATAGATGAGAACAAACGATCTGGGTCCATAAATGAGCAAACGCTGCGCAAAAGTCAACAGAGAAAATGGTAATGTCATGGGCAATCTAATCTAAAGTAGGTGATTTCAGGAAGATTTTGGATGAGGATATCGGTGGATATATTTAGTTTCTCTGAAAAAAACTACATGTCACTTCTTTATCAGGACTCCAATATGTCAGACAAAACCCTGCAGACAATTTTTAATATGCAGATACTATATTTAAAACAAAACACACTTAAGTGAGACTAAAAAAGCCACTTTTTTATTGGTGCACACTCAAAAAAATACCAAAAACTGAACACAGTTTCCATCATGATGGCATGACGCTATCTGACCGATTTTAAAACACAACTGCAGGTGATAAGAATGAAAACTGTTCAGGAATAATCTCAATCCATTTAGGATAAAAAAAAAGTAGCATCAGGGAGTAAAAGGTCAAAACTGGACCTGACCTGCAGGAGCTGAACCACATTTTTCTACTTAAATGAGCTGCAGGATTTAACTGCCTACCATCCAACCAACGTAACGTTATTTTATGAAAGAAGGAAAAACAAGCATAAACACTTTGCACTTTACTACACTTTGCACAATAACTCAATAATCGCAGGAAATAAAACAAATTCAATAATTTCCTTTTGCATTATTTATTGTTTTTCTCTTTCTGCCAAAAACTAGATGACTAAAGTCTTCATTCTGGTGCTTTGGTCTCAACTATCCTTTTTTTTTTTTCTGTTCACAGAGGTTTCAAAATTCATTTTACTTGTTGTTTTGTTTATTTATTTTGGATATTTAAAACATCTTCCAGTTCCAGTGTTAAATGTTTGCTATTATTTAAAGTTTATTGATATTTGAGGATATGTTCTTGGCATCATTACCATTAACTAAGATGAAAATGGTCTTACAACGTAACTTCTGGGACAATTTATTGTCCAGATCAATTTGTTACCATGTCAGGCCTCAACAACTCAAATGAACTTGAACTTATAACTACCTACCTGTTTTTCTGGATGAAATGTGTTATTTTTTTAAAGACGCTCATAAAACAATCTTACATCTGGGCCCACAAGTGCCACAATTACATGAACAAATAGGTAACTATTTAAATATGTGCTCATTTAAATAAAAAAAAACAAACTGGAGTGCTGGCAGTGGAGTTTGCAGGAAAACCCAAACCAGCTGCTCTCGCCTTGCCTTTGTGCTTGTTCTTCTCAAACCCAAAACTCCTCGTAAAGAAGCTTTCCACCTCATTGCTCTCTTTACACATGCACTTACATGCTCCAAGTCTTCTTCTGTGGCTTGCAGTCATATTTACTGCAGTATTTTATTGTGTTGCGGTGCCCCAGCGGGGCAAAGGGAGAAGAGAGAGCGAGAACAAACATCCATTCTTCGCCTCTGGCCATGGACTCCCTTATTTTTGTCTGTCACTCATCCCCGAACAAGACTGTGCAGCGCCTCGACAAGAGACTTTGGTATTATTGTCATTTTACGCAGGTGTGGACACGCTTCCACCATTTCCTCTGCTTTTTCCCTTTTCTCTTCCCAACACATGAAAAATGAATTTAATGGCATGTATCTTGCCATGATTGAGTATATTCTCTCTACTGCTGTGCGTTAATGGAAGAACTGTCATCATCAGGATAGTATCATGTGTTTTTTCTTTTATTTTTCAAAAAGAAACAGGGGAACATAAATGTTTATTGAGCCCTGGAGGCACGTAAGCAAATGTGACCTCATCTGAGCCGATGTAAAGCGTCTGCTTTCAGAGGGGAGTGCAGATGGAAAGATCTGTAAATCACAGAACCCGCTCCGCTCGGTCAAACAGCTGCGTGGTTTCTGTGCACGATTACGGCACAATCACAAATCTCCAGCATCTAATGCGCTGCTTGGGCCTCACAAACGCACAATGATTTGCTTCATGTGTTTTACGGTTTTCAATCCGCGGCTCCTAAGTACGACGGCACATTTGGGCCATGTGAGATGGAAGAGAAAAAGTAAGTAAGGAGTACATTTCTGCCAAAAATCTCCAATTTGCAGCAAAAAAATAATCTCAGAAATTTTCTGTAAAAAAAAAAAAAAAAAAAAAAAAACCTTGGAAATATTGTGTTTAAAAGTAAAAAATTGGCAAAAAAAAAAAAACCAAACAAAATTTTGTTTTTTTCTATAATTGATCTTTTTCTAGCAAACTTTTGACTCTTCAATTTTATAATATTTCTTCTTTTGTGGAAAAAACAAGATTTGGACATTTTTCTTGTTCTTTACAAGATCAATTCTGAGATTAATCTAAAACTATTAGTTTTTTTCTACCACATTTTTGACTTATCAACCTCTGAAATCTTTTTTGAAGAAAAAACTACTTGATTAATTACTTATTATTTTATTTCAGCCTTTCCCATTTTAATCAGCTGCTCCCTGTTGTAAAACACCCTGTTGCTATGGTTATGCATCATCACACTTCCAGGAGCTTTGCAGCCGACAGCCATCTTGGTAGGTGTCCATAACTAAGTGTAAGGATAGCTGATATGGAGTTGCCTTGACGACAGTAAGCAAGCCACATTCTCTGCCTCCTATTGGTCGATTCCAACAGCAGTGATTTTGTTGATACATAATTTGGTCTCGAGTGTCGACATACTTTCTGTTGGTTTCGAATCCACGATTCCTTTACGGTTTGCACTGCGCTTGCCTACCAAGATGGCGGCTCACCAAGATGGTGAGCCGCCATCTTGGAAATGACGGCGCGGATCCCTTCTGACTCAGACTTGTGGGAATAATGTATGGTGAAAAATCCGTCCAATTATACGCAGTATCCAAAACAAGAAGAAATGGTTGTCCAAAAGAGCTATTTTCATCCCATAAAGGCAGGAATGAAAGTTTGGAAAAGAAAAAAATCTCAATGACACTATATATGGTCTTTTTCCTCCACCTTGATGGTTCCTATATGACCTGATTCAGTTTCTTCAGCTTTTGATTTCTTTTTTCCACAGCTTGTTATCCCCACGTCTGCGCGACACATCAGTCCCCGGTTTAAGACTCGTGTCAGAGGCGCGGAGAATGAGCTGCTTTCGGAAATCTGGAACAGTGAGGACAGTTTGGAAAGCAAGAAAAAAAGAAAAGAAAAGCTGGATAAAACAGAAACTATGAACGATACAAAGCGATGTGTTCAAGTGTCTGAAACCCAGAGGTGATTTCTTTAATCCTGCACCATTTAGAAGGTTTGCAGTGTTTTACTCATTATCTGGAGAGATGTCTGTTAAATACAGATTAGGGATTAGGGATCCTGAACTTTCCCATGGAACAGAAACAATCTGTCTTCTCCTGGGTTATCGGGCTCCTTCTCTGTGACGTCCCCACTCCCACTCTTTCATCTCTGCATCCCTTCCACTTCCAACCAGCTGTGCTCCATATTTCACCCTCGCTTTCCAACAGATTTTTAAATCAATCCCTTAAATTTAAGCAGAAACTTTCAGCCTTTTATCTACGATTCCTTCCCTTCCTCCAGCAGCCATCTTTCTTTTGATGACCTCGCTAATTTAAGCTGTCGCATATTTTCCTCCTGATAACGTTTGACTTTCAAAACGAGACAGAAATGGATTCAAACATTCCGAATCCAGCGAGGTTCAGCCTCATCTTACGTCTGTGTTTTAGGAAGTTTCCATAGTTAGAATATCAACAACAACAAAAACTAATCACGAACGATCATCAATAGAAGAAGGAGAAATCTTGGTATGATTTGGCACCACATAATAAACCAAATTTGAAATAAAAGACTGATTAAATTCAAAATTTCACATCGGAGCAAACTTTAGAGCACTAAAGCTCATTTAATCAGACCTTAAAGGAGATAAATCTCCTTTAAATTCACATGTTGCACATTTTTATAATTCCATTTTGGTCTCTGCTGCTTCCAAAAACAGCCCTTAAAAATAAACATCCAGCTCTTTTTTGGCAACAAGTCAACGTTTTTGGTGTCTGGAAAATAAGTTGTTTAAAACAAAAAACCTGCTTGTTGCTGCACCGTTACTCAAGCAACCCAAGCAGAAAAACAGCTCAAGACAAGAGTTTCAAACACTTATTATCCAAATAATAAGCGTCTTACAGATCCTGTATTAATCATATGTGATCTGTAATATATAGGTTTTATATATATATATATAAAAAAAACTGTTTATAAATATGTTTTATCCAAAACTCCCCAAGTGGTGGTTTTAGCTTCACCCAGTTCAAATGTGTTATAAAATGTTTATTTTCTTATTATTATTGAGTTAATTTATTTCTCATATGGTATAAAAAGGCTTATGTGGTTAAATGAAAATCTGTATAAGCTGGGATTTTTTTAATGTGATTAATCATCAGATTAATTTATAGCTAACGTTGCAAATTAACAGATCTGATAAAAACACAGAAGCAGAAACAAAGATGTCAGCCGTGTACTGATATGATGATAAATGTATAAGGTTTGAATGCCTGCAGATGACATGATATATTTTCAAGGTCAGGAGTAGAAAGTGGAAACCTGCCATCGGATAAATCCCTCACTCACCCCGTTGAATCCTGGGAAAAGGCTGACGGCCGAGGCGGTGTCCAGCGGGATCGGGAAGAACGGCTTCATGCCCAGTGAGGTTTGGACGGCCGGCAGGGTGGGACGCACCAGCGAAGGCATGAGGCCATTTTGACATGTGTTACCTGCAGGAGGTCGGAGGAAAAGGCAACATGTTGAGCAGCTGAGCCAAAATCTGTTTACCTCACATCCCATGAAGCCCTCTTCCTATTAGTGTCATCTGTGTCATCGATATCTCCGTCCCTTTGCGTCACATTTGCTGCTTTTCCAGCTATTTAGCACCTGTGCTGCTGCGGCTGCCAAGTCAAGTCATCACAAACTGGTTTAACTGGAGCTGAAGCCAGAAATGAGCACTTTTCCAGTTAAAAGTTTAAAGCACTTGTGATTTTATTAAATTTTGGGACTTGGTCACAAATTCTGGAATATTTTGATCAGATTGAGGCAGAGCACCCAAACGTTCTACACAAGTGAGCAAAGACCTACAATAAAACAATATATGTTTTACTAAAGTAAAAGTAAAAAAGTATTTACTGAGTAAGTGATCAAAATATTTAATAATTAGGAATTACATCATCAGACTGCAGAAAATCCAGAGATTTTACTTAAGAGTAAAAATACTTCATAATGAAATTGATCAAAAAGAAATAATAAATACAGCTCAGTAAAAATACTCCTGAAAGTATTTTTTTTAACAAATACTTCCTCAAGTAAATATAACTAGACCACATCATACTGCCACCACTGTACTTCACAGTTGGGATGTTTTCAACCTTATAATCTTCCCCCTTTTAACTCCACTCGTAACATTTCTCAGTATTGTTTCCTGTGTTTTTCAAAGCTGATTTTACATCAACCCTACTGGTTTTAAAACCTTTAGATGGTGAGAACCTTCAGAGCCACATAAATACAGTTACAAAGTCAGCCTTCTCTCACCTGAAGAACATTTCTAGGATTAAATCACTAATGTCTCAGCAAGATCTAGAGAAACTCATCCATTTATTCATCTTCAGTCGTGTCGATTACGGCAACAGTTTCTAGAAACATCAATCCTCTTGCAGCAGCAGATCCAGAACGCTGCTGCTGCAGTTCTGACTCCAATCAGGAACAAACTTTCAGAAAACTGCCAAACAGCCAAAAAACTGAGTTCCTTTAAATCCAGATTAAAAATCCAACCTGCTTTTGATTAGCAGTAAATTGAACACTGATCAACATATTTCATATTTATTTCCTGTATGAGGTATTTGACAAAATATAATGCTTATTGCTGGTTTCAAAATCGGTTATTGTATCATGTTTTTAAAGCAGTTTGCCTTGTGGTGGGAATGGGCTATGACTTGTCAAAGAACAACTTAACGAAAGACGTCCTCAAAATAAGAGAAATAAAAAGCGCGGCTCTGCAGTGACGATCTCTTTCACGACCATCGCAGCTTGTAAACACGTTTAGCCGTCCGATCATTTATCACTTTATGCTTTTGGATTTACTCTCAGACATCCTGCAGAAAAAGACTTTTGGCTTAGTTGTGTTGTTTTGTCTTCTTTCAGACATTTGAGAGATCCGCTGATTTAATGAAGACCACTTTCAGACAGAGGAGTTAGAGAAACCTTTTGATTCCAAAAGCTTTATGTTTCATTTCTAGCTGTACAACAGCCTGAAAAGAAAATAAAGGCACAATTAAAACTTTTACTGCACAGAAAAAGAAAATTTGCTTCCTTTTTCTTTCACTGAAGTTGATTTTCTCAGCTGTGATCTCAGGAACAGAACTTATTTTCTTTTAATTGACTTTCTCTTTTAGATTTTGTGTAGGTGTGGCCAAATCTTCTCACTTTCAATGGATTCCTGTTTCATGCCAGCCACTAATTGCAACACAACCGAGCAAAATTCAACTCTATAGAGACCAAAATATAGTTTATACTCAGAGAAATTAATTTTTGCTGTCCTGCCAGCTGCATTTATAAATTGGCATAGAATCCTCGAATTAATGATCCATAAATATTATTCAGTGCTTCTAGAAATGCTTGACTTTCAGTTCTTGAACTTTTTCTGAAGGGCATTTAAGGTCGAGAGGTCTGCAAATGTTGAGTCTGCAGGTCTTGACCTTTGGAAACTTTGCACCCCTTGACTCTAAAGTGGGTTTAGTGCAGCGGTGGAACGTATTATGGTACCGTGCTGGAGTTTTAATGGTAGAAGCATCTGAATTTAAAGGGAAAATATCATGTAAAAATTTACTTTTTTGAGCTTTATATCATGTTATAGTGTTTCTTCCTCATTAAAAACATTCCTGGCGTGTTGCTCTGATTCCTTTAGGTTGCAACATTTGTTACATTTCCAGCTGCTGTGGTTTGTTTTCACACTGCACTGAGTCAAACGTAACAAAATTAAAAACCAGTTCCCCTCCTCGCCTGTGGTGGCGCTGCAGCAGAAGGAAACAGAGGAAAACGACATGAAAATCTTCCTTCTTCACAAAATTTTTCGTCCAGTGGGTAGAGAATCCAGAACGTAAGTGTAGTGATACTTCATAATAAAATTACTCAAGTAGAAATAATAAGTACAGCTCAGTAAAAGTACTCCTAAAAGTATTTTTTTCCATTAATCCTATTGGTTTCAAACCTTTACATAGTGAGAACTGAACATCAAGAGCCACAAAAAGACATACAAAGTCAGTCTTTTATCACCTGACGAACAACTAGTTCTATTGGCAGATTATTTCACTTATAATATGGGGAAATGTCTTATGAGTTAATTTATCTGTCAATGAAACAAGAACTTTTTCATCAATATTAAGGTGTCATAATAAAGAGTTGCCAATGTTTCCATATTAGTTTCTTTCAATAGAAAATGTATAAAACTTTAGCAAAAATGCCAGGTGTGCATCTGCGTCTGGTTAATCTTTGGTTAAAACATATTTGTTTTTCATTTTACTCAAGTAAGAGCAGCGATACTTTAAAATAAGTACATGTAACCCAACTCTGACGCTAAGTTTCATTCTGGGGTAATTTTATCTCTTCATAAATGACTTGAAGGTGAATTCAGGTTGAAAATATTTAAACTTCTTCCTAACAGCAGGTTGGGTTAGCAGGTGAAAAGTGCATTTATTATTTGTTTTTTTTCTCTGAAATCAGATGCTTGCTGAGGTGGAGCGGCCCCACAGCGAGTCTTATGAGATGATTCAACAGTAAGAGAGGCCCGGGCCACACATCTCTAGGAAAAACAAAAGTAAATACTCCAGTTTTATTGTCATGTGAGAGCGCCACGCCAGCAGAGAGCTTTCCTAACCACGAGCTGGAAACAGGACAGGGCTGATTTCAGCATGTCAGGGTTGAAAAGAAAATGGCAGAAAAAAAAGAGAAAGAAATTGCCGCTGCGTTCCAAAACATTAGGAGTTAAAGAAGCCATTTCACAAAGCTATAATGAGAACCAGAGTGATTTTTTTTTTCATTTTTATCACTGCATCACAACAGTGAAAACCTGAGCCAGCAGGCTCAAAAGCGCTGGCATCAAACCAGTGTCATGAGACAAATGAAAACAATGTTTGCCACGTTCCAGTCCCCAGGCTGTGGTTAGGGGTAAATAAAAAGCAAAAGTCATAAAAACAAGCAGAGAATTGGGAGAAGCCACAAACTGCAGGGCCTGCTTTTTTTTTTTTTTTTCCTTCTTTCCTGCTCCATCTTTTGCTGCTTCCTCCAGTCGCCAGAGCGCTGCCATCTGTTGGAAAAAGCGCACATGCAGCCTTTCATGTGGAGGCATGTTCCGGTACCAACTTTAACAAAGCATGTCCGTCTGCAGGGATCAACCGTCGCTCGACACGCCGGCCTGACGTCACTGCTCAGGATCGCCTCACCTTGCTAACAGCCAAATGAGCCGTCCGTCAGGGCGAGGCGCGCAGCCAAAAGCGGATCATCCAAACACAGCCGTGCTGGTGTGAGAAGTTCATCTGCAGCGCTCTGACGTGTGGATTTGTTTGGCGGGGTCGTGTTTAGAGTGCGCACTGACAGATGGGATCTGACGGGCCACAATGGCTCAGGTTTGGGGATTTTTACTTTTTCCCCTTGACCTGCAACATCATCACATGAAGCTGATTCGTTCCACCGGAGAACCACAAGAAGTCAAAGTGAAGTTTAGCTTTTTTTTTTTTCCTCTGACACACTCAGGAGTGGAGTTACACTGTAAAACAAAATTATCTAATTTACAGTAAAATATCAGCAGTTGCCCGAATTGTATTCTCCATATCCAGTAAAATCTACACTGTAAATATACTACATACATATACCACATTTATACATTATATTGGCAAACGGTAATGTATAAATGTGGTATATGTAAAAAGTAAGATAGCTGGACGCTACCAGGTTGTTCAGACTTGCATGTAACTGTTTGAACAGATTAGCATGGCGGCTTCAGACATCTGGGAATTGTCCCCAAAGACGAACCAGACTTGTGGAAGTTCACCATCGCCATCATCGCCAGAGCTTACCCAGTCATAACATGTTTGTATTGATCAGATGTGTCTGGTTTGGGGGCAGCGAATGTAAAAACAGGAAGCAGATGCTTTGTTCTGAACAAGCAGAAAACCTGGAGAATGAACACTGAAAAAACACAAACAGGTATTTATGCTCTACTTTTTACTGAAAATATTTTAGTACAATTTAAATAACTAACTCACAAGTAATATTTCTAATATATATGAGCTTGTCCCATGTAAATATTTACTTAATATTGATTTAAAAACAGATTATTTAACAAAACATTTTCTGCACGTTATAAATGAAATAATGTGCTGGTGCAACAAGACATTTTTCATCAGAATTAAATATTCACTTAAAACAAGCTTCTTACTGAAAACTTACTTATAAGTTAATTTGTCTTATTCCTAGTGGACTAAGATATTTGAACTAAAAAGTGGACAAAAATACTTGGTCAGATTTTGTGTTTGTACAGTACTGTACCACGTCGATATGATACATATTAAAAAAACAACTCAAAGAAGGTGATTGAATCAAGTTCACATTATACCTGGTAGCTGTGTTGCATCGAGATTCAATTAAAATTCACACCATAAACCAATCGCTCTGCAGTTCACTTTGAATCGTACCAAGAGTCCAAAATGCTTCATACAATATTTTTAGT